TAGAAGTTCCTTACCAGCAGTCACCTTCCCCTATGGAGTCAAAGGCCCCCTCCCCCTAAAAAACTCCAAGTGCTTAAAATATTTTAATGAGAATCAGCTGGATACAGCTACAACAATGACCAAAGCCAGAGTCTGAAGCCCACCAGGAAAAGTGGGACTGGCTGAGAAATAAATTGGGTAAAGATCTGGAACAGAGTCAGTGTGGCATGATGGTTAGAGTGCTAGATCTGAAGTCAGGAAGACCTGGGTTTAAATCCTACCTGTGACACCTACTAGTTACACCATCATGTAACCCTGTGGAAGTCACTTAACCTCTCTCCCTTGGTGAGGGGGTTAGACTAGATGCGTCTAAATTCATTTCCACCTCTTAATCCATCGTCCTATGACCCTATGCATCCAGTCAGCGCCTGCAGAATGAAAGCAAGCATCACAGTGCCCTGCAAAACCGTAAAATTTTGGCTTAGAGGATCTGACTCTGGGGGAATGGAGAGAAGTTCTCCCAAGATACCTCAAGGAGAGGGTCAGCAGAGCTGTATAGGGAGAGCAAGACCCCTGCCTTTCTCTGCTATAAAGATAGACTTCTGTTCAGACATTTGATCAGTATGCTAGGGCTCCTAGTTCCTATCTGATTATGTGAAAACAAGAATAAGGATAATGTCACCTTAAACCTACATAGTTCTTTCTAGCTTTCATTTGAGCCTTACCTTAATCTTAGACAAGGCAGGGCAGATACTGTTATCCCCACTTTATGGATGATGAAACTGAGACCCAGAGAGATTAATGGAAACCCTTTGAGGAAAGGGACTTTGATTTTGTCTTTCTGTCCCTAGCACCAGGCACATAAGTGCTTAAGAAATACTTTTTGATTGATTAATTATATAGGCAGGATGAGCTCTGTACATAAGCATGGTAGACATTTTCCCAACTGATGGGCTTTGAGGGCAGTTGGGAAACATCTCCCAACTTTACCTCCATCTAACCTTAACTTACTAAAATGATACATCTTCATTAGCCTGAGTTAAATTTTCAAAGCCCTTCCTTAAAATGCAACTCCTTTTGAAGGAGTAGCCAATCATGTAAGCCACCATATTGCATTTATATTTGTCTCTCCTCTGATACATGCCCACTGTGTTATCCTGGGCAGATGTGCCTCTCACTGTCGCAGGCAACTTTCTGAGACTATATGTCAAAGAGTGAATGGTAATCTGTACTAGAGGATGTTTTCTCATCAGGAACTCCATACAGGTTCTATCTGGACAAAAACAAAAACAGAAAAATTGAGCTTGATTCGGCTTTTCAGATCCCCTTTGATCACCTAGCATGGGCTGAAAGCAATGAGGCACAGAAGCTATCGCTCTAGATGGAATCTGAGGGAGGTCCAATAGCATGAAGTCCTTCCAGAGAGGACAGGTTTCATCTGGACACTCACTGAGGGAGTCCTGGTCAGCCAGAGATGGGCATGGGGGCACTGGGTACCTGGTAGGATTGGGAGAAAGGGAGGAGGATGCTGACAGAAGGGTGTGTGAAATATACAAAGCTAGTGATCATGGCGATAAGACACAAAGATAATCTTTGTATATTTCATTTTTTTGTCTCAGGTTGGCCATGTCTATGATGGTGGGGGCAATAGTACCAAGTGAGGCTGGCAGAAATCCAGCAGTAGACTAAATGCTTACTCTGCTCCCTGAATAGCTGTGTGACCAAGAAGAAGTCACTCTGGGCATCAGTTCGCTTAGGGAAGTAGACAAGAAGATCTAGGGATAGGCACCCTTCCAGCTGAGATATCCTTTGTATCTGGTATGCTCCGGTCATTGACAGTTAACCTAATACCCCAGCAGAGGTCTCCCCCTTCCTTTTGTGAGCCCCACTGTGGCGCAGGAGCTGCTAGAGTAATCATCTTTTAAAGAGGACTGAACTTGGGATTTCATTGTTAATGGAACTCCCAGCGAAAAGAGAGATAGAACTTTCTATAAAGATAGGTTATATATAGAGAGATGCAGATGTGAATAGGGGAGCAAAGGAAGAAAGCTCATTCATTCATTCAGTACCTCCATTGCTTTCTCCCTCCTCTGAATTGCACATTCCTGTGCCAGAGTCATTCAAACGTAGAGAGCTCAGGATTTGGGAGAGTGTTTTCCAGGGGTCTCCTCCATCCATCAATTTGTGGACTGGCTTAGCAGGGTCCACTGGAGGGGCTCCCTGAGAGCCTGTGCACATCAGTCTCTGGATCCAGATTTATAGAAAGTTACACTGGGGTGGGAGTGGGGTGCGGGCATTTCAGTATCTGTCCCAGATCAGGAACTGGGAGGGCCCCCAAAGATTATCTGGTCCAACCCTTTTATTTTTCAGATGAAGAAACTGAGGTGACTTGTTCAAGGGCACCCAGCTAGTTAGTGGTACAACCAGGGCTAGCATATCTTGGCTCCCAGTATACTGCTATTTCTCGTCTACTCTGCTTATTGGGTCCAAGATAGAAGAGCAAGGAATAGTTCCCATCAGGCATGTGTGGGGGCACCTTTATTCCAGGTCTTTAGGAGGACTTTGGTGTTATCCTCTGACACTTCTCTGGTCATCAGTTTCCCACTCTGTCAAAAGTGAAGATTGGACTAGATGTCTCCTGTTCCCTTCAAACTCTAAGTCATATGATCCAGTGAGCTCCATCCGAGGTTCCTTCTAGCCATAGCTTTGTATGGCTCTTTGTTTCTAATGAGAGGCTGCATGAGGATGAGCAAAATTAGCAACAGGTCCTTGTACATGGGAACAGAGGTCACTTTCATCTCACTTTGCTCAACTCTGCATCCTTAGTCCCATTGCCCTGAGTGTAAATTTGAGTTTGAAGCATGAGTCTATCTCCCTCTGGCTCTTCCCCTTTATCAATCCCACGAAAAACCCCGCTTCTTTCTCATCTCTTTCCAACTTCTTTTCTCTTAAGTCTTTTGAGCTGTTCCTGGGCACTGTCCAAAGGGAGAACGTGGAAAAGAGCAGGGGGAGGCATTAATCAGGGAAGGCAAGATGAAGGGGCAGGTGGCCCTTCCTCTCAAGGAGAAGCTGCTCCCTCTATTTACACCCACTCAGGGCTTTAAGAGATTGGGAAATGGAGACAATTAATCTGATAAATCAGGTGAAATGGCTTTGTGGGGGTGGGGATGGGGGTGTCTGAATTTTAGATAATAATAAGGCAAAGTAATGACAGTCCCCAATTCTATGAAGGGCTATTACCTGTAAATTGGATTTTCTTCATTTCCATTGAGGACAGAAGAAAGAAGAAAGAAATAGGCTTATGCTACAACAGGAAGAAGGTAGGCTGGATCTAAGAAATGGAGAGATGGGCTAATTTGACGGTTGTCTCCGGTACAGGAAACACCCAAACCTAAATATGACAGACCCATAGAAGCCCAGAATGTCAGAGCTGAAAGGGACCTAAGGAATTATTTTATCCAACCCCATCATTTTACAGATGAAGAAACTGATACTCCCAATAGGCACATCATTCCCAGCTCCAAGCCCTTTGATTGTTTTCTCCTATTCTGAGAGCCTAGAGAACAGAGTGATGCATTTTTAATTTGAAATGTGTCTTACCTCTAGGTGGAGGCAGCTGGTGACTCAATGGATCAAGCACTGGGCCTGGAGTCAGGAAGACCTGATTTCAAATCTGGCCTCAAAAACTTACTCCTAACTGTGTGACTCTGGGCAAGTCACTTAACCTCTGTTTACCTTAACCCACCGGAGAAGGAAATGGCAAACCACTCCAGTATCTTTGCCAAAGAAACCCCATAATGGAGTCACAAAGAGTCAGACATGACTGAACAACAACCTCACTTCTAGGTATACTTTAATATATGAACAATATTTTTTTCTGCAGTAACCACGAGAAAATCCCCTGAGTTCAAATCCTAGCTCTGACACTTACTACCTTTGTGGACTTGGTCAAAATCACTTTACCCTTCTCAGCCTATTTCCTCAATCTCCTCAGCCTCAATGGCCTTTGAAGTCCCTTTTAGTTCTGAATAGATAATCCTACGGACTGGGTAGCTGGGAGAAAGGATAATAGGGTCGTAGATCTAGAACTGGAAGGGGACCAAATATCATCTAGCCCAATGCCCTTACATTGTGGTTCTTGAGTTGTTTCAGTTGTGTCCGACTCTTCATGACCCCATTTGGGGTTTTCTTGGCAAAGATTCTGGAGTGGTTCACCATTTCCTTCTCCAGCTCATTTTACAGATGAGGAAACTAAGGCAAACAGGGTACAGTGACTTGCCCGGCTCACACAGCTAATAAGTGTTTGAGGCTGGATTTGAACTTAGGTAGATGAGTCTTCCGGACTCCAGGCCTAGTGCCCCATGAGCTATGGCACCACCTAGTGGCCTGCCCTTATGTTACAGATGAGGAAATAAAATTGCTTACTCAAGGTAACACACAGGTAATAAGTGACCCGGGTAAGAGTTGAATGTAAGTCCTCTGACTCCAAATCTGGCACTCTTTCCATCATACAACCCTCCAAAATCCACAAGCTAAAAACACATACACAAGAGCACTCATGCGTGGGCAGGCATTGCTATGAGCACACACACAATTCTGTTTCCCATAAGAATCAGGCAAAAGAGGGAAGCATTTCAATCCTGTGACCTCCTACAGGGAGTCTACCTGGACTGAGTCATCAGCTTTCTGCTCTCTCTCCCGGCTCCAAGACCAAAGCTCTTTAAGTTATCCAATTCAAGACAGGATTAAGAAAACCTACTTCCCATCACCCTAATAATTACAACATTATTTGTTTTTTTTAAGTAATATTTATTTATCTGATTGATATCAGTAAGGAACAACTCCCATTTCTACAGTGCTTTCAGATTTACGCAGGAATATGTTCCCTTTGATCTCTGACGCTCTGTTCTGGCCACACTCCCTACCTTGGACGGTCCTGACCCGTCACCACCAAACTGGCTCGGCAAATTGCCAAACCCTTGCCAAATCCCTGCCAAATCCTGCTTGACTCACCTCCAGTACTTTGAGACAATATGACATCCAGGAAAAAATGCTGAATTTTGAGGCAGAAGAGCTGGTAAACCAAGTTCTGCCACCTGTGTGACTTTAAGTAAGTTGCTGACCCTCTCTGGACCATGGGGTCCACCTGAGTTAAATGGTTCCTTTCAGTTCAGAAGTGTGATTATCCCAGGCTCAGTCACAACTACTTTGTAGATCTTCAAAAGCTGCTTTACGAGTGTTCTTAAGTCTATTTCTTGTCTTTCTCCTCTCTCTCTCTCCATCAGATTCAGAGTTCATTGAGCATAGGGATACTATCTCTCCCATCAAAATGGGATTTTCCAAAAAGTTGACATTGTCTCCTTTTTATTCTGGATTGCCCCCGCTCCCCGGCACCCAGTACAGGATCCTGTTAGGAACCTTAGTAGGGCTCAGTCTGGGACATTGACTGACTTTGTTCTTTCTTCCTTCCTTCTGTCTCTGTTTCTGTTCTAGGTCACCCAGCAGGATGAGAACCTCAATGTGCTGGCAACTGCTACTATTCCTTTCTGTATTCCCATTCGGAGAGACTCTAGACAAGTTTGCTCCTGTTGAGAACCCTGGATTCACAGGTACAAGCTATCTGAGGCAGGAAAGTGGGAAAGATGGGAATAAAGATCTCTCATTACCCATTAGGTCAACACACACACACACACACACACACACACACACACACACACACACGAGTCATCAGATCAAAATTATCATATTCTGAATATAGATTGCCTCTGAATATGTCAACTCTATATACTCATATGATATATAAAATTTTCTGAAGTCAACCTTTGTGGGATTAAAAAATACACTCTAATAGATACAAGTGGTATTAAGGATCAGTCTGGGACATGAAAATCTGATGAGGTCATTGTGAAGTGGCTCAGGTGAAACCCAGAGAGATTCAGTGACTTAAAGTCACAGAGTAAAACAATATGGCATCATGACCAGGTTCCAGACTGGGGTGGAGGATGGCAGCGCTGTCCACCAGTGTGGTCCATGAGCTAAGAGAACATCCTGAAATGAAAAGAAGTCGACTCCTAGGTTGCATCCCTACTTGGCTTCTTGTTTGCTGAGTGACCTTGGGCTATTAGTTTAATCTCTCTGGCTTTCCCTTTGTCCAACAAGAGAGTAGAGAGAATTACTCCCTGATTGTTCCAACAGGAAGGGCTCATGCGATCATGATCTAGAACGGGAAGAAGTTGTAGAGATCATCTGATCCGACTGCCTCATATTACAGGTAAAGAAACTGAGGCTTAAGGAAGGGTAGTGATCTGTCCAAGGCCACAGGTAGTAGGTAACAGAGCTGGCAGCCAAATTCAGGTCCCCAAACCACAAATTCGGTATTCTTTCTACCCAATCACACAGTTTCTTAGTCCTCACTCCAAAGGGTCTCATCAGCACTGGAAAATGATGCAAACCTGATCAATAAGTCTCTTCTGAAGATAAGTACTTCCTAACCTAGGAGTAGGGGACTTTAGAACAGAGTTTTTCCCTAGAGACAGTAAAGCTTTACCCTTACGGAGACTTTTAGAGTTTGGGTTGGGGTTTTTTTTTTTTTTTGAGGGAGTTTGAGACTATGGCCCAAGTCCTTCCTCCAGTGGTCTGCCATGTTGGGCATTGTATGGAAGGGACACCCTCACCACCTTAGCCATCTCATGGACTGGAGGTGGGGAGGGGGAAGCAGGATAGAGAATCACAGGGAAAGGTCCTAACTCAAACTTCATCAAATCTGGGCAGTTTTCATTCTGCCACCTCCTTTTTCACCAGAGTATTGGGGAAGAGAGAACTTGTAGCTACCAAGAGTCAGCCACCCTCCCCCTGCCATACACAGAGTTCTCATTTCAATTAATCTGACACAATTTGTTGTGACTATTGTGTGAACTCAAAGCAGCAATGTTGTTCTTCCTGCCAAAAATCATAGCAAGTTTAACAAGGCCTTGGATCTGAAGTACCTTCCAAATTAGCCTCTTGTTAACCTCATCAGCTGAAGGGGAAAATGAGACCAGGAGAGGAGAATTCAAGTTAAGGTCACCCAGATAATTCAATTCATTAGGCATTCAGATCAGCTGTTGGGGCTCAGCAATTACTGTAATCAAAACCTTTGGGGAGGTGATGGAGCCACTGTGGTTATCATTTCCCTTCTAGAGATGGGAAAACTTTTTTCAGAAAGATTGAGGGATTTACCCATAGTATCTCAGCCTATGAGGCAGGATAGTGTATTGTGGTGGAAGGAGATCTGAAATGAGGGAGTGACTTAAGCAGAAAGAAGGAGAATGCGGGAAGGGAAGGGAGTGAAATGACCATATCATCTTAGAACTTGTGATAGGAAATGCTGGTCAAAGTCTGACACGCAGCTTAGACTTGGAGAAGGAAGATTTCAAAGGGTTCAGAGAAAGGATAGCTAGGATTGCATGGGCTAAAATTCTACAGAGGAAATTGTTCCAGAAGAGATGGGGAAGATCAAGAGAATAGGATTCTGAAGACACAAAGAGAAGCAATTTCTGATGCAGAAGAAAAGGGGAGGGGTCTAAAGAGACTGATGTGGATTCACAGGAAACTCTTAGACCAATTTAAATATTTAAAAACATACAGACAATGAAAGCAAAAGAAGGTCACAGGAAAGCTATAAAAAGGGATTACATGACCCTGTAAGAATACTGTCAGGAGTGTTAAAGCTCTGCATTGAGCTGGGAATAGTAAAGAAAGCTAACAAAAACAAAAAAGGGGGTGGTGGTGAAGTGGATAGAGCACTGGCCCTGGATTCAGGAGGATCTGAGTTCAAATATGGCCTCAGACACATAACACTTACTAGCTGTGTGACCCTGGGCAAGTCACTTAATCCTATTGCCTAGCCAAAAAAAAAAGGGGGGGGGGTTTAAAAAACTGTATGGAGAAAAAGAGAATGCTCAACGAAGGGATAGGACTGATGCTTGAGGTAGATGGAATGATTTTAACATGAGACTGAAGACAGAGCTGCTCAGTTTTTACTTTGCTTCTATTTTTTCAAGGAAAATGAGCCTTGGATATATCTGTCCAATGGCAGATAATTAATAGGGAGTTAAACCCAATATAAGTAAAGAGGTAATAACTGAGGCATCTAGTAAGGAGGAGGGACAGCTAGGTGGGGCAGTGGATAGAACCAGAGCCTGGAGTCAGGAAGACTCATCTTCTTGAGTACAAATCTGGCCTCAGACATTTACTAGCTGTGTGACTCTGAGCAAGTCACTTAAACCTGCTTGCCTCAGTTTCCTTATCTGTAAAATGAGCTGGAGAAGGAAATAGCACATCACTCCACTATCTTTGCCAAGAAAACCCCAATGGGGTCATGAAGAGTCATACATGACTGAAAAACAGCTAAACAATAAAAAAGTAGGGAGGCACCCAGCTACTCTTGATGAGTTCAAGGTCCAAACAAATTAGATCCCAAGGTACTGAAAGAGCCAATATGTGATTATTTAGCCACCACCAGTGATCTTTGAAAGGTTGTAGAGAGAGACAGAGGTATTTAAAGACCAGAGGAGGGTAAATGTCAAAAAAAAAAAGAGAGAAGAGGAGATTTTGGAAACTGTAGGGCCATGAACTTGACTTTGATACTTGGCAAATTTCTAGATCATAAAGGGATGGCAAGTAAACATCTGAAAAGGGAAACAACCTCAAAGAGCTAGCATGACTTCATCAAGAACAGGGCAAGCCAAACGAAACTCAGGTGCTCTTCTGAGAGGGTTACCAGACTGGTAGAACAGGGAAATGCTATGAATATTGTTTACCTAGATTTTAGCAAAGGATTTGGCAAAATCTCTCATGCTATTCTTGTGCAAAAGCAGAGATGTAGGTTGGAGAATACAGTTCAATGGATTCAGATATGGTTAAATGGCCAGACTCAAAGAGTAGTCATTGCAAATGACTCAATGTCAACTAGGATAGAGGTCTCTAGAGTGGCACTTTCATATTTAATATTTTTATCAGTGATTTCGCTAAAGGTATAGATAGTAGGTTTATCAATCTTCCAAATAATATAAAGCTTCCTCCTTCCTTCTTCCTTCCTTCCTCCCTCCTTCCTTCTTCCTTCCTTCTTTCCTTCTTCCTTCCTTTCCTCTTTCCTTCCTTCCTGAAAGTTCCTCAATATCTTTGAGCCTAGGTTTCCTTTCTCTATATTAAGGGATTGGATGAGATGATATCAAGAATCCCTTTAGGCTTTAAATACTACGTGATTCTATGGCTCCAAGACAGCTTCTGAATTTGTTAAGCAGCATTTAAGTCTTCTATGTACAGGCACTATCAGAGGTACTGGAAGTACAAATGGGGAAAGGTCCTAGCTGTCAACTGTACCATACAGCCCAGTAGAGCTCTACTGCCCCCTAGCGTCTTGGTTTTCAGGCACAGAGGCAGTCAGACGCAGCACCCCATTTCCCAATGGTATACTGCACTAGGACCCTACTGGGCGATTGATTTCAGCAGGGTCCTGCCCGGGAATTGTAGACTACGTACTTAATATTCTGCGATAGGAATATGTACCCAGGGTACTTTTCTGGGTGGTTTTGGGGAATAGAGGAAAGGAAATAATGTGATTTGAGGCCCTAGACACTTTCTCTGGTCTCTAGTCCAATCCAGAATCACAGATTCATATTTTCAGAATGTTAGAGTTAGAAGGGGGTACCTTTGAGATGACCTAGCCAAGCCCCCTCATTTAACAGAGCAGTAAACTGAGGCGCAGAAAGCTTAGCAGACAAGATCACAGATTTAGAACTGGAAGGGATCTTAGAGGCCATTTTATCCAACCCCCAAATTTTTCAGATGGGGAAACTGAGGTCCAGAGAGGTGAAGTGATTTGCCCAAGGCCATACAGGCAGTAAATGATAGGGATAGTATTTAAACTCAGGTCTTCTGATTAAAAAATAAGTAATCTTTATATCAGGAAGGGGGTGGGGAGCAGCAAGGCCCTGAATGCTCTGGGGAAGTGTTGCTACCTTGAATCCAGTCCAGGGTTCATTGCCACATAGGGTTGAAATGCTAGGCAGTATTTGATTCAGCATCTCCATGTGGCTTCTCTGCCCTAGGACAGCGTGGCCGACTCCTGGCCCACCTGATTCCCTGGAAACGGAGGCCCCAGTGTCCCGAGAAACCAGAACAGACAGAACAGACACAGAAAATGGCACGACTCTGCCCCTCTGATGAGACCCCTGACCCACTGTGGCCAGGTCTGTGCCCCACTCGTAGCCGACTGATCGCAGCACCCCAAGGAGCCTTGCTGGTGGAGCGGGAGAAAGATCTGTCCGCCTACAATTGGAACTCCTTCGGCCTGCGTTATGGAAAGCGACAGACAAGAATTGGAAAGGCTCGGGTGACTGCCTGATAGAGACCGTGTGTGTCCCGGGATTTAAAATGAATTTCAACCTAGGGACAAAGGTTTCAAGCAAGGGGGCTGGGCTTTTTTCTGGGGGGGGTGGGTAAAGGGAGAAAGTTCACTGTCCTGAAAAGATAAAAGAAATTACATCAACAACTTTATCTGCTTTGTGGCTTATTCTACTGTTACTCGTTTTTCAATCATGTCCACTCTTCATGACCCCATTGGGGGTTTTCTTGGCAAAGATACTGGAGTGGTTTGCCATTTCCTTGTCCATCTCGTTTGACAGATGAAGAAACTGAGGCAAGTGGGGGTTAAGTGATTTGCCCAGGGTCACACAGCAAGTGTCTGAGGCCAGATTTGAACTCAGAAAGATGAGTTCTCCTGACTCCAGGCCTGGCACTCTATCCTCCATGCCACCTAGCTGCCTTTTTCATTACTAATGATACCATCACTTTCTCTACCTTGGTTACATTTACCAACCAGCAAGAATTAGAAGTTGTGTTAAACTATAGTACACAAATACTTTCCTAATCTCCAAGAAGGTGTGAATCAGCCCCACCCTTTAGAGAAGACTGTTCTCCCTAGGCTGGTACTTTGTATCAGTCTGAGATGTGTCGCTGTCCACCCCCCCAGCATGAATAAAGAACAAGGAGTTAAGCAGGGCAGCTGAGAAGCTTCCTAACTCCTCTTGATAGGATCTTCAGGTTGTGGTTTTGTTATATCAATCAACCAATCAATCAGCAAGCATTTATTAAGCACCTACTATGTACCAGGCTCCATATTAGCCAATGGGGACACAAATACAAAAATATGACAGTCCCCACCTTCAAAGGCCTTATCCTGCAAACTGGTATGAATTCTCCAAGTCTCAACACCGACCAATAGCCAAATGTAAGCAGATATAATCTAGAGACAAAGAGGAACAATAGTTTATCTGACATTTTGGATTCTCTACATCACTGCTTCTTCCATGTATGGAATCGGGCATTGACTGTTACTCTACACAATGGGGTATAAGGGAATGGACACAGTAGCTCCAGAGCTTTCTTTTTGGAACATTTGGTTATAGACTTCTCATCGTCACTGTGGGAGGCCTCAGGGAAGGTTATTGTGCCCCAGGAAGATAAGACACAGGTAGTTGGTTAGTGACCTGGGGCAACTGAATAGAGGAATGAAGCTTAATCCAAGGGAATTTTGCTTCCCAGATTTGAAAAGTCTCCAGCACAGAGCCCCCCTCCCTACCCTTCAAACCCCAGCCTAGAGCAAAGGAAGAGCTATGTAATAAATTATAGTTGTCCAATAATGGATTGAGGTGCTTTGTGAGGTAGTGAGTTTCCTGTTACTGGGGAGTATTCAAAGCTGGATAACTACTTTCTAGGATTGTTATAAAAAGGAATTAATGCAATAGAAAAAGACCTCAGGGGCCTTTTAGTACAACTCTTGAATTTTAAAGATGAGGAAATTGGGGATCAGTTAGGTTAAATGACTTATCCATGGTAAATAAGGGTAGTAAACATCAAAAGCATGATCTGAGCCAAGTTCCTTTGCATCTGGACCACTGTACCATAATGATTTTTTTTTTGGTTAATGAATGAAAAATCATTTATTAAGTACTTACTGTGTGCCACACATTGAGCTAAGTACTGAGAATACAAAGATTTTAAAAAGAGACTGTCTTTATCCTCAGGGAACTTATATTCTTGCTATTCTGATTCTTCCAACTGGGTAAGTCCAGAGTTGGGATTTTGGGGAACTATGCTGAAATTTCTCAAAACGTAGTAAGCAAAATTCCTATTGATTAAGCTTTGCCCCTTGTTTCAGCTGAGTAAAGGAAGAACTGTCTGATAAATCACAGTGGTCCAAACACGGAATGGGTTGCTTTGTGAGGTAGTGAGTTCCCTGTCACTAGAGATATTCAAAGTTAGCTGACTACTTCTGAGGGATGTCATAAAAGAGATTAATGCAATTTGCAGAGGAATCGAACTGAGTTGAAATCTATCGTCCCACTGATCCTAGGATTGTTCTCTGGAATTACACAGAGTAAGTCTACTCTTTTCCATCTAACAGTCCTTCAAATATTTGAAGTGAAGCATCTGCCCCTGCCCCTGACCCCTACCAAGTCTCCTTTTTTCTAAGCTAACCATCCCCGGTTCAACTATTTCTCACAGGACTTAATTTTGAATCACCTCACCACCCAGACCAAAACCATCATTGCACATGTGATCTGACCAGGGCAGAGGATTTCTGGACATTATGCTTCTGACATAGGAGGATAGATGGAGACCCCATTTGATGTTCCCAAGTCCCCTGGCCCTAGCTCAGGCTAGTTTTCCCATCTAGAGGATTTGGGGAGTCTACACCAAGTCTCACCCATGTTCTAACCAAGAAAGGAATTGGGATTCTGATGGTGGTCTGGATGTGCAGATGGAGGGAGAGTAGCATTGTGTTCCTATCTATGGTAATGCAGCGAGTTGCTATGGAAACATAGCAACCTGACCTAACCCTTAACCCTTCGGCTACCTTGCTACTGGACTCAGACGGCTCTGGAGGAGAAAGTGAGGCTGGTGACTTTGCACAGCCCTGCCTCACTTAAATTCAATTCACTTGCAAGTCATGGTGGTCACCTCCATGATGTCGTGGTCCTCTTCAATAATGAAGGACAAACAATAACAACAACCTTCCCTATCTAGTTAATGTGTGTTAATAGGATGTTATCTTCTGCAATAGCATTTATGCCATTTCTCATTTGGGAAGGAATTCCACTCCCTAAAAGCCTTTACATGGTTACAGGGATGCCCCCCCCCTCCTTAACCCTAATCTGGGCAGCAAGGTGATTCAGTGGATAGAATGTTGGACTTGGAGTCAGGATGATCTGAGTTAAAATCCTACCTCAGATTCTTACTGGCTGTGTGACCTTGGACGAGTCACTTTCTTGGCTTCATCTGTAAAACATGGATAATAACAATATCTACCTCTCAGGGGTTGTTGTGAGGATCAAATAAGATAATATGTGTAAGTGCTTTGCAAATCTTAAATGCCATTATTATTGTGAGCCATACATGCTACCTTTCTGAAGGACAAGGAATCCATACCTACTCCTCAAAGTGAGCAGTTTTCTCTGTCAGGGGCCGCCTTGGTCTCTGATTTACCTGCTGGTGAAGACTGGGAGGGGAGGAACTCTTGCTGTCCGGGTCTGAATCCTGCACTCTGCTGGTCTGATTTCCTTTCCCTATGAGTCTCCTCTCTCTTTATCTGACAAACCCCATTCTTAGTTTGGACGAATGGGAGAGGAGGGGGAGGAGCCTGAACGTGTTCACTGAGCAGTTAGCTGGGCAGCTTTCCAGCTCTCCAGAGCAGGGGGTCTGCACACCGGCTTTGGTAAGTCAATCAATTGATCATTCAATCAGTAAGTAAGCATTTATTGGTACCCAGTGTGTGCCCTGACAGAATGGGAGGATGAGAATAATGTGTTCCAATGGCCATGAAGCTGGCACTGTGTACTGCTTAGAGCTTGATAAAACATTGAAGACGTCAAGGTCATCCACTGCATCCCAGACCATCCCCAGTTGTCTTGACTTTTGTCTCGCCACTGGACTCTGATAACTCTGGAAAACAGAGTGAGACTGATGACTTTGTGCACCCCTGCCTCATTTAAATCCAATTCAGGTGCAAATCAGGACATCACCCATCACATTGTGATATCATCGGTCCTCTTTGAAGATGAAGGATCCCTACCCCCATTAACATGGGGCAGCCAGGTAGTGCGATGGATAGAATGCCAAGCTTGGAGTCAAGAGGACCTGAATTCAAATCTGACCTCAGACACTTACTAGCTATGTGACCCTGTACAATCACTTAATCCTGTTTGCCTCAGTTTCCTCACCTGCAAAATGAGCTGGACAAGGAAATGGCAAACCACTGACAAGAAAACCCCAAATGGGGTCATGAAGAGTCAGACACAACTGAAATGACTGAACATGTGTGCGCTTAGGCATACAGAGTATCACAGGGTACTTGTGCTTCAAGCCACCTTTAGGCTGCTCTCTAGGACTATTGCATTCTCAAAGATCCCAGAAGGAGAGCTGTCTATGATGTTGGAAAGTCCTCAGAGGGGTCAAAAGGAGGAAGGCAGAGCCCAGTCTGTCCATGTCTGTGTTTCTCTAAAGCTTTGTGATGGCTAGCCCCAGCTCCCTGCCATCAGAGACCCTCAGATTCACCCCTCTCTGAGAACTGTGGCATGGAAAGAGATAAGTGAGTTCCTTGGGGGAACAGGGATCATCTCACTCCCAGGGGGTCCCTGCTCTAAAACAAGTGGGAAGTGGGTGTAATAAAATCTGGGTTTCAGACCAAACCTACCTGCAGAGACATACATTTTTCTCTGCCACAGAGAGCTATGTATTTTGGAGCCCTTCCTGCTGGACTCAGTGGAAGCTGGAGAAAGGGTGGGGACTCCCCCACCTGCCCGACCTGGTATATTAATGCTGGGCCTGAGGTTTGGTGCTAATGGTGCCAGGCAGAATTACCTGAGAAGCAGCCTGGGAATGTGGAAAGAGAAAGGGATTTAGAATCCAAAGACTAGGATTCAAATCCTGCCTCTGCCTCTGGGACCCTGGGCAAGGCACTTACCATGATCTTCAGTTTCCTCCTCTATAAAATGAGGGGGTCGAATCCGTAGATCTTATGCCTATGCAATTTGCGCTGGCTTCTTTCTGTGGCCTGTGGGAGATGTCTGAAAAGAAAGAAATAAGGAAGCCTGTCTGTGACTCTAAATGGAGGAAATAAGGTAGAGTTTTCTTCTCTGCCAGAGGATCCCCTTAAATCTGCTTTAAGAGATGGAGGTATAGTTTCCAGTCCTTATGTGAAAAGGGGAAAGACGTTCCATATGGAATATCCCTTCCTCCGCTCTTCCTCCTTCCTTCCTCCCCATTTAGGTGCTAACTACAGGGAGCCCACACTCTTTCCACACGGGGGGGTGGGGCAGAGAAACGGCAGGGCAGCAGGAAAGTTGATATTCATTTGCACAACTGTCAGTCAATGGTCAAGTGGTGTTACCTTCAACTACAT